AGCCACKGGGATCAGAACAGGTACGGTGGCAGGTGGCTACAGGGCTCGGCAAAGGCATTTAAATTCATTTATTTCTGTTGCTTTGACTAATTTATTGCTGGTTGCGTGTTCTGTAGAAAGAGCAGTTTATCTGCAGCAGGATTAAAGCTGAGTTTTGGCACATGAGAATCTCTTCTCAGGATCCTCCAGCTGGTGAAGCCCCAGGCCCCACACACACCCCCACCCACGTTTAAAGGTCTTCCCAGAAGACCCCCACACACCCSCTGTGTGGCACTCATTTTATCCACCTCGGAAGGATGAAGGGCTGAGTGGACCCTGCCGGGATCCCGGCCGGTGCCTGGAGCAGGCGGAGCCCGGGTGGGCTCCACGCCTGCAGCCCCGGCCGGTCCCTGCGGCGTGCGGTACCTGCGCTTGCCTGTTCTGGATCGTCAGCTTCACCGTGATCCGCAGCCCCTTCCAGTCGCCCGTGGCCTTGGCGATGTCATCGCCCACCTTTTTGGGGGACTGAGGAATGACACGTGGTGGTCACACAGGGCTCGGGGTAAAGCCCAGAGTCCCAGTGGCTCTCCACATGCATGTGTGACCCGGCCTCTTCTGTGTGGTACTGCTAAACACCTTTTCTCCAGGACTGACCAACACTGCCTCGGTGTTTCCCGGGACCCATTTCCCACCCTCCGCCCCAGGATATGCTTCCCACCACCTCCGAAACATATKTAATCCTTTCCCCCTCGGAACACGCTGTTATTCCTCCACAACCAGGACACGCTTCTCACCCTCCATTCCGCCGCCCCGGGACATACTTCCCACTCCGCTTGGTACATATTTTATCCCCCCCTTCTCCGGACACGCTTCTTTCCCCCCCGGACACACTTGTTCCCCGGTCAGAGACGCTTCCCCTCCCCTCTCGGGCCACGCCGCTCCCCGACTTCCCACCTCCCTGCCCTCGCTCCCCCGCATGCCCCGGTACGTACCAGCCCCAGGGGTCCGATCTTGGGGGCCAGCGCGGAGGTGGCTCCGACCTCGCCGCCGGTGCAGCGCAGGTAAACTGCGGGGACAGCGCCGCGTCAGYCGCGCCCGCCGGGCCCCGCGGCCTCGCCCGCCTCCCGCGCCCACTGCCCAGCACCTACCGACTTTGATCTCGTTGGGATCGAACTTGGGCGGCATCGCGGCGGCGGATGACCGCGGATGGAGGCGGATGGAGGCGGATGGAGGCGGATGGACCCTCCCAAAAGAACCGAGGCCTTCCGGGACAGCGAAAAGACAGCGGGGGCTGCGCGGGCCCAATATATACCCGCCGAGATCTCGCGAGATGCCAGAAAAGTCTAGAGAGCTGCCAAAATCTCGCGAGAAGTGAAGTGCCTGCTGTGGCGGGATCTCTAAAGATTTATTTATTTATTTATCTCTAAAGATTTTTTTATGCATTTCTATTTCTATCTATTAGTATCTGTCGATATCTGTCAATGTGTATGTATGTATGTATGTATGTATGTATGTATGTATGTATGTATCTATCTATCTATCTATCTATCTATCTATCTATCTATCTGATCTTCCTCCCTGTTGCAAAATGTGGACCATGTGGAAGGGTGGTCCGGCATTGGAAGGGGTTGCTATTGGGGTTGCACAGGGCACTGGTGGAGTCCCCATCCCCGGAGGTGCCCAAGGAAGATCAGCACTCAGATAAGGCTGCACCCACCGGGATCTTTTCCAACCCCAACAGTTTTGGGGTGTTTGGCCGGGCGAGTCGGTCCTCCGGCCGCTTGGGGGCGCGCAGCACGGCGGGCACGGCTCTGTGGGCGGGGCGGGGCGCYCTGGCCGCGCGTCTCGCTGGTGGCGCCGATCACATGAGGCGGCGGTGAGGCAGCGATGGAGCTGACGAGCGGTGAGCGGGGCTGGGGTGAGGGGGAGCCAGTTCTGGGACCCTGGGGCTGCTCCGGGCCGGACACCGCGGTTCGGGGGTGCTCCTCGGAAGGGCTCCTCGGAAGGGCTCGGGAGCAGGCGGTGCCCGGAGCTGCGCCGTGTCCGCAGAGCAGCCGCCGCCCGCGCTCACTGTCGCTGCTCTCCTCAGGTATCGGGCCGGTGCCCGAGGGCTTCGAGCCAAAATCCCGGCAGGGTCGACTCAGTCCTTCATCCTTTCAARGTTCTGAGCCCTCGGGCACAGAACGGCGCTGGTCTGGATGAGAGAAGGGTAAAGAAGACGAAGAGCTTGGAAGCTGTGTCATTCTGGGAGGGGGTCCTGCAGTGACTCCCAGAGAGAAGAAGAATAGTGATGATGAGGGAAAGGAAGGACTGAGAGGCAGAGCTGGACTGGTGAAGATGAGCAGAGATGTGTTCCAGGCGTTGCCAAGGGAGGCTCGGGCAGGCTCAGGCTATGGCAGGGGTGCCAGCTCCAGCACAAAGAGCAAAGATGCGGGACAGTGGGTTCCAGAGCTGCAGTTCAGCTGTTGCCTCCCCTGTGCCCTGTTCCAGTGCCTGCAGGGCTGGCTGCTGATAACCTGTCAGAGAGCCACACCAGAGAGCTGCCCGGTGTCTGGTGACAGCTCTGTCCCCCAGGGCCAGGCAGCATCTGCAGGAGCCCACCCACACCCCGACCCTGACTCAGTGCTCCCTCGCTGTGTTCCTGGTGTTTTCCCAGACTAAATAAAACATCTTTCCTTCCACATTCCCAGCTTGTCTTACAGTGCCCAGATGGATTTGTGTCCAGAATGTTTTGAAAATTTGGACTTCTTCCAGWCCTGTATTGCTGCATTTTAATTACATTTGTTAGTAAAACGTGGGGTTGGCTTTATTTTGTTGTCATTACCCAAACAGCTGCAGACTGGGAAACACCCAAGGACATTCCTGTGCCTTCCTCACCCCAAGTGTGTGGCTGCTCCACAGGCAGAGCTGGTGGCTGCAGGATTTGATGTCCATGGATGCTCACTGCCTGCAGGGTGGGTGCTGGCCCAGGCACTTACAGGCACTTCATTCAGTAATTTAAKAAATAAAAATTACATCATGTAAAACATCACGTGCCAAGAGCTTTTCTTGTTCCTGGCTTCTGAGTCTTCACTAAAGCAAATTTCCACTTTTCAAAGCTGTTCAGTCCATTTAACAAATGGATCCTTCATCTTCTAACCCCCGATAGGATTCTTTCCCTGTCCACTGTCTACCCTTCAGCCCTCATGTCTTTTATCTGTTTTCTTGGGTGAAAACCGATGATTTCCCACTGTCCCCATCACTGATAATACCTGGCTGGGATAAAGAAAGGGAAGGTGGGACAAGGGGGTGGAGAAGTGCTCAGCAAAGAATTGAACATACTCATCAATGCAGATCCTGCTGCAGGCACCTTGTCCTTCTGCTTTTTCATCTGTAAATCTCCTTTTGTTCCTGTCTCTGTTGTTGTGCCCTTGACTGCTGTCCTGCATCTCCCTGCTGTAGCTCCTGACACTCAGCTTCCCTTCTTGCTCAATCTTCTGAATTCTGGCTCTTTCCTCTCCTCCTGGGAGCTGAGCCTGAGGAGCATTTCAATGGTCTGAAGTGGTTAAAAAGGCAGAAATTGGGATGGCAGGGAAAGAGCCATGTAACTCTTGGAGATGACTTTGTAGCCACCTCCTGCTGTGGCCCGTGGCTGGTTCTGGTGGTGGTGTGACAGTAGGACAGTGACTCGGGGTGTCTGTGGCTCCTTGTTTCTGGAGAGAAAGGAAGTGGGGTGGCTTGCATGAATTTGACTTCGATGAATTTGAATTATTTTGCTTTTACATGAAGGATTTGTCTCCATAAAAGTTTGACAGAGTGTTTGGCAGAGCTGACCCTGCTCAGGGAATGTCTCTGGCTGGATACTGAGGGTACCTGCTTTTCAAGAGAGTTTGAARCCAATTTGCAGAAGCAGAGCTGGCAGAGAACTGGCATTTTGTGTACAACACCTGAACTTCTCTGAGCCCTGAGTTAACTGCTGTGTAGCTGTGCCAGTTATTGCTGAACTTCTGTGCTGATTTTTAAATTGCTTGGGAAAACAAGGTTTAGAAAAGTCATTGCAAACTTCGAGGACCTCACWGTGTGGTTCTTGAAGAGGTTCTTTAAAAGGGCTCTGGGCAGCTGGAGCCTGCCTGGACTCCCTTCTGTGCCAGGCAGTGCTGACCRGGACTTCTCAGGTTCCTTGAGAAATCCAAGGCTTCCTGCCCACAAAATTCAAGTCTCCCACCTTGTTCAGGGCTTGCTGTTACACTTCTGCTCTTCTCTCATCTTCTCCCAGTCTTATCTCTTGTGTCAGGTCCCTCTGGGAGCCCCTGTGCACCTGCAGCCCCAGCTCAATCTCTCTCTGCACTGCCCATTTGTTCCCTCTAATCCTGTGCAGCCTCAGAGAAACCCCTTTTTCTTCTTGGTTTCATTGTTCAACTGCCCCCATCTTTTCCAGCATCCCAGCTGGTACCATCCCATTTCCAGTTGGTCTTCCCATTCCTTTCCAGCCTCAGCTTTCCRCCTTTCCCTCAAAATCTGCCAGCAGCTCCCTTTTCCCCCTCTGCTGAGTCAGATTCCTGGTGAGTCCCAGAGCTGCCTGGTGTCTGTTCCACTTCCCCCATCTGCTCTCCTGATTCCACCAGGCATTTCTGCACCCACTCTCCTCTCTCAGGTCCAACTTCTCTCTGTACACTTGAACCAGGTGGAATCCTTGCTCTCAATCCTGGATTCTGGCTTGAGGATGAAGCATCCAATCTGGTGACAGCCRGCCTGGGAGAAGCTCTGGAGTGCCCAGTATCAGAGGTTTTTTTGAAATGAGGTTCTTTTAGTTCTGCAGGCAGTTGTTAGACTGTTGGAAATTGATTTGGTTTTAAAAACCTGTTCAAAATCTGACTCAAAGCTATTAAATATTTCAGCAGAACCTTTTCATTGTATGATTAAAATGGGGGAAGTTTTCCTGATGAAGAAGCTGCTGCTGCCCAGAAAGAAAATGAATCAAGAGTTTTGTTGACTCAAGGCAGCCCCTGAAGCTGAGAAGTAAATTCCAGCTTGGGAATCCTGGTTGTGGTCCCTGTGACATCCCAAGAAGTGGCTGGGCTGGACTGGGACATCACAGAGGAGGCTCTGCTGCACCCACAGGCAGTAAGTCCCTGTATTTTGAACTGCATCAGGAGGTTTATTCTCACCTGCCCTGTGAGGGGAAGGCAGCTGTGTTCTCTCAGCATTAGTTTTTCACACTTTTAGCCTAACTTTATTCTAGAAAATTTTATAGTTCATTATTATTGTGCCAGAATTGACCTTGATTTTAAATAATCTGGGTTTTATCGAGGTGCTTGATCTCTTGGTACAGCTTTTGAATTCCTGCAGTGGGCTCTGCCTTTCCCTGTACTTGCTTCAGGTCTGAGCCAGACACCCAGCCCATCCCAGACCCCAGCAGGGCTTGAGTGGCTCATGTTCACACTTCCCTTTGGAGCTGTGCTGGAGCCTGCCTGTGTGATCCAGCTGAACAAGGACAATTGCTGACACAATTATTTTCTTTTTAWTTTTTCTCCCATCTATTAGATCCCAGTTCTGCAGCCCAGGCTCCSCAGCAAACACAGACTCCAGGATCCCTCAGCCTCCCTCTGCACTGACCATCTGTGCCCCTGGAAGGAGCCAGAGCCAGGAATGAAGATGCCTCTCTTCTCCAGGAAGAAGAAACCCAGCGWTGMTSYKSGKMWGSKCCTTGAGTACCAAATGTGCCTGGTGAGCACTGCCAGGGTCATTCCTGTCCTCTGGGGCTGGTCCTGGCTCCAGGTGGCTTGGTACATCCTCTGCATGACCAGTAACCCCATTCCATGACCAGTAATCATGTTCCTGATCTCACCAAGACAGCAGGTCCACTTCCTAATGTCCATCAGGGAATTCCTGCCTTCCTGTGTTCTTTGCCCTCCCACCCACATGCCCCTTTTGTGCCACTTTCACCCCTCTCTGTGTGGTTCCATGGGACATCCTCCACCCCATYCACCTCCTGCCAGCCAGACAAGGAGGATAYTGAGGGGCTGGAWYRTGTCCAGGGAAGGGAACGGAGCTGGGGAAGGGCCTGGAGCCCCAGGAGCAGCTGAGGGAGCTGGGGAAGGGACTGAGCCTGCAGAAAAGGAGACTTTTAGGGAGGACCTGACCTCACTCTTCACAATTCCCTGACAGGAGGGGACAGCCRGGGGAGGGTCAGGCTCTGSTCYCAGRGAACAGGGACAGGAGAAGAGGAAACTGCCTCGAGTTGTKCCAGGGGYRRTTTAGGTTGGATATTGGGACATTTTCCTTTMATGAAAAGGSTTGTCAGACACTRGCACAGGSYWCCCAGGGCAGTGGTGGGGTCACCATCCCTGGAAGTGATCCAGAGATGTGTAAATGTGGYACTGGGGCCATGGGGATGGTGGGGTCTGTCCGGTTCATTGCCGTTAGCAGCTGTGTTGGATGTACTCGGTTTGAACATGGAAAACTGCTTGGGAACAGAATCACAGAATTCTAGACTGGTTTGGATGGAAGGGACCTTAGAGCCCATCCAGTGCCAACCCTGCCATGGCAGGGACACCTTCCACTGTCCCAGGCTGCTCCAAGCCCCAATGTCCAGCCTGGCCTTGGGCACTGCCAGGGATGGGGAGCCCACAGCCTCTCTGGGGAAGGTGCAGTGAGAGCTGTGTATTCTTGCATATTTCTCTCATTCTCTGGGTGTGTGTGTTCCCTCTCCAGGCAAAAGAAGCTGGTGCTGATGACACCCTTGACATATCCAGGTGTGAGCTTTCAGAGGTATGTCCTCTACAACTTCCAGTCCTCACTCACAGCTCTGATTCTCCATCTGCTTCCTGGTACCAGCTCTCAGATTTACTCTCATGTCTGAGCCTTGAGACAGAAATTATTACTGGTCTATCTCTTCCTCTGTCTCCTGAGCTCTGCCTGACAGCTGGGGGCTTCTTCCCTTTTTTTTTTTTTTTTTTTTTGGTGGGGCTTTGCGTGCCCTGTCTGCTGCTTCAACACCATTTCTGTCCTGGTAATCCTTTAGTCTGACAAGGCGAGAAGGGCAGTGATCTCACACCCTTCACCTTGTTTGACCCTCATTTTGGATCTCTTGGCTAAATTTTGCTGGTCCTGAGGGGATTGGTTTGCCAAAGGCTGAGTATTTCTAATTTTAGAGCTACACAGTCTGCCACCCATGGTTATTTTTTCTGTGTGAGTGAGAATCCCTTCTTCCAAGCTGCTGGTGAAGGATGGAAATCTCACTTCCAGCTTGGCTTCTTTTATAGCAGCCAGTGAAAAAAGAACCAATCTGTCTGCTGGTGTGTGGGCAGGCAGTGCCAGGCACCCAGAGCAGACACAGATTTTCATGCTGGCAGTCAGGCCAGGCTCAGGCAGAAGCCCATTTCTGTCTCACTTTCAATTTTTATTCATTTCTTGTGCTTCTGAAATGTTGATCCTGACTACAGGATGTCTTTGCCAAGCAGGCTCTTGGTGGGGCAATTTGGGGCCATCCTGGAGAGCAGAGCTGCCTGCTGTGCAGGGTGAAATAGCTTTGCTGAGACTTTGGGGCGTTTTGAGCCAAGCTCTGGAGCCACCAGCAGTTTGTGTGTKGGTTTGCAGGCTGTGTGCGAGAGTCTGGGTGTGGTAGGGTGACAGACAGAGGATGCACCCAGCCAGCTCCACTCAGGACCATAGCTGATCCTTTTGGGTTGGAAYCACAAAACTCTGTCTTGCTGTTGCATTTTTATTCTTGTTTCAGTAAGTTTCGATAACCATGGGCAGGAGTTTGGCTGCTGCTGGTTCTGTGCTGCAGGGAAGGTCACAGTGCCCAGCCATGCCTGGCAAGGGCTGAACTGGCACCTCCCTTTGTTGCCTGCCCCTCTCCTGGCACATCAGGGACACTCTGTCCTGCCTGGGGCTCACCTTTCTCTCTCAGCACACTGCAGTGTGGATGTGAGGCTGCCAAACCACAGAGTGCATTTCTGGGATGACTAAACTGAACCTTTGTCTGAATGTTAAATCACACAAGGCTTGAAGTCCTGCCTGAGCCTCAGTCTGTTCTGTGACACTCTTGTGTCATGGAGAGCCACTGAAAGGTTTTTAAGTGGGAGTTCTCTGGGAAGTACTGGGCCAGTGATTTTAAGTATCACTTTTATTTTTAATTCACAGGTGGACACTGTAGARCTGCTTAAAACGGAAATCTGATATGACTATTTTTTTGKTTTTTTGTTTTTAGGTTCCTTATGGGGCCTTTGCAACATGCAAAGTCTTGCAAAAAAAGGTAATGTTGCAATGAGAAATGATGAAATAATGCTATTATTATGCTTGAGTATTATTGTTGTGTTTGAAATGTCTGTGTGCGGCTGTTCATGGTGCTCCAAAATGAGTTTGCTTGTAAGGAATTTGGCCACTTTTAGGATACTACACAGGGAGCCGTTTGGGTCAGACTAATCCTGTGTTCTTTAAAGTTAACTTCTGCCAGAAGAGATGAGGGGGTTGTTCCTGTCTGAGCCTGTCCGAGGTTATTTTCATGTGAGGAGCTGGGCTCTGGTTTAGATCTCATGAAAATGTTTGACCTTMTCTGACAATCCATCTCCTACTTCAATATTTTATGTGATACTGAGTGAGATACTGAGCTCTTACAAGCATCCCCATTTCAATCCCGACAGAAGTGTTTGTTCTGGTRTCTCTTGTGTTTGTGTGTCACTGAGGTTTCTCCTCCCCAGGTGCTGATTATTCACACGAATAACCTGTCATCTTTAGTTCCCAAGTCCTGCAGCCTCCTGAGTCTCATAACTGTGAAGGTAATTGTGTTTCTTAAGAGTTAAACTGCAGCCTTGTTTCCTTGGATTTGAGCTGCATGAAAACCCATCAGCCCAAATAAATCCCTTCTGGCTGACTGGCTTTGCCAGGAATCAGTACCAAGGTGTGACAGCTGCCTTTCCTTGGCTTACTAAAATCCATTTCTCCCCTGTCCTGGTGGGTCACTGGAATGGGAAGGAAGCTGCTGATGGGTATGATGAGGCTGTGTCACCCTTGTGCTGGGATTCCTCAAGAGACAGAGTTGTTCTAGCAGCTCCCCATGGAGGGAGGGAATTCTCCAGGTCTRGTCCTGCTCTCTCCCTGCACTGCTTTTGGACCAGTTCAGCTTCCAAGGAGAGTTCAGCTCAYTGATTTGCAGAAATTCCTTCTGCCAGGCCAGCTCCAAGGGGCTGATTTATCCAGTAGGCTCACCTGGTTTTGTGGGAMAGCTCCCTCAGTGTCACTGCTCTCCCTTGTCTCTTGTTTGTTACTGATTCTTGAGTTTCCAAAAGATCTCCAAGAATTAAGTACCCAAATCTCCTGGAGAACTTGAGCTGCTTTTCAAAGTCCCATTGGAAGCAAAGGAATTTTCACTGAGAGATAATTCCTGACTTTTGTTCCCAACCTTGCTTAGTGAYATCATCTGCTTTTTCAGGTTCTAGACCTGCATGACAACCAGCTGRCATCCCTTCCTGCTGATATTGGTCAGCTGACAGCTCTTCAGGTAAAAGATTTGCAGCTGCACCCCAGGTGTCTGTACGGGGTGTGTTTTGGGATATGGGGTTACTGCTGTTTGGTTCATAATGAATCCCAGCTTCCATGATGGTGCCATATTGTCAGATCTATMCCATCAACCTGACTGTTGCTGTGGAACTGGCTGGTTGGAGAAAGAGCAGGAAAAGAGGAGGAAAGGAGCAGGAAAAGCCATTCTGGGTGATGTGCTCCCAGCTTGGGGCAGCCCAGGTGGCTCCCACTGCCAAGCAGATGCTCTGAGCCTGCTGATCTCCCAAAACGCTCAGGTTTTGCCATTCTCCCTGCTGTGGTTATGCTGAGAACAGAGCAGTATGTCTAAAGGCACACTCGGGGTCTCTCTGCTCAGGGGCAGCTTTGGGTTCAGCCCGTGGGAGCTGGAGTTGGGGCGTGCTGCCCTGGACACTYTGATTCCCAGGTCCTGCATCTGGATTCAGCACCAGATGGTGGTGGTGGGCAGAGTTTCTCACTGCCTGTGGTAGCCTGACATATTCTTTATCCAGGGCTGGTGAAAAATACATTTTTTTAACCCAGAAAGTATTGTCTAAAACCAATTTCAAGTTGTYCTTCTGGGCCTGAAAGTCCCAGCAACACAGATGTGTCGCAGACCTGAGACTTGGTTGAGTACCTTGAATATCTTTTCTGTTAATACCTTAGGTCCTAAACCTTGAAAGGAATCTYTTAAAAAGCCTTCCACAATCTATAGGAGACCTTGCTCAGCTCCAGGTCCTCAATGTGAAAGGTATGGAATGGGATTGCTCTGGGCAAAGCACATTTATTACCTGGGTCATTTTGAGCTGCATTAGCAATCATTCTTTTCAACCAAGGCAAGCACCACATGGTTTACACTCTGAAAGCTGAGGAAAAGCACAGGGAAGGTTTGAATTCAAATAATTGGGGAGGCAGGAGAAATGTTCTAGGCAGAATCAAACTCAGTCCACAGGATGTTTTCATTTGCCCATTGCCCCTTCTCRAAGGAAGCCCTTCAGTAAAGCAAACAGAGCACTCAGCCAGATAAACCAAATTGCAGCTGGGTCYCCCCACAACCAGAGTTGGGTCCTRTGAGCCTGTGGAGCCCTGCCAGRTTTGCACAGCCCTAGCACAAAGGTYACACCTCTTTTCCAGACTCTTGGGCGTTTTCCAGCTATGCTGTGTCATAAATCTGGGAGAAAAAGGACATTTAGTTGGGTGAAACAGAGAGGAAATGAGGAACTTGGAAGGGTGAGGAACTTGGAAGAGCTGCTCAGGTCGCTGCCTGTCTGCCTGCAKCACCTGGCTCTGAGCTCTGGGTGTGCAATCCCACACTCAGTCCCCTTCCTCCTATCTCTGGGACCTACACCAAAGGGGAACAGTCTCCATCTTCCAAATAGCTCCCAGAGAGCACAGATCCAGCCTGCAGCAGTGACCTCAGCTGAGAAGGAGATTTAGATCCCAAGCTGCCCTGGGTGGGCAGTGACATCGTTTGAGACCCCATGTGACCAGGGAACCCCCTCCCTGCGGAAATGAGCCGTGCATGTGGTTCTGTGTTGGTGCTGGAGCAGATGAGCCTGCTGGGCCCTGTTTTGGAGCGGTTGGGGGGTTCTGAGTGGTTTTCTGTCCCTGTAGATAACAAGCTGAGGGAGCTGCCYGGCACGGTGAGCGGCCTGCGGAGCCTGCGGGCTCTGGATGTCAGCGGGAACGCGCTGCAGGAGCTGCCACGGCTGCTGGCCCACGTCCGCACCCTGCAGGTACCCAGCTCCACCTGCCAGCCCTCCCCAGCCCCATTCCCTCAGCTGGGGATGAATCCAGCACAGCAGGGGAATGTTGAGGGTCTGGGCAGGATGTGCTGCAGGGATTGTAACAGGGCTGTTCACAGTGTTCAAAGGAACTTTCATGTACCTGCTCTGGTCTTTTCTTATCGCTTTTTGCCACAGTTTAATCATGACAAAAGTGATACCCAGGGTGAATCCCTGGATTTTACCTGCCAGGGCTGTCTCTGAGAGCACAAACCGTGCCTCTGTCACCCTGGAACATCTCCAACTTATTGCCAGCTTCCCTGGTTTTCTGGCTCCCTGGAGTGCACTTTAAGAATGGGAAAAGCATYAAGGTTTTTATGGATATGTTACCTTCCAGCTGCCAGACCTGTCAGCACTGAATGGTGCAAGTGTGAGGTGATAGGATTCAGGCATCAGCAGGAAGGCTTGAATAAATGCTCTCCTGTCTCACACAAAAAATATGACTTCAGTTCTCTTGTGGACGGCCTGAATTGAGGGATCTGTGCAGCTTTGCCTCCTGTGCTTGGTAAAGTGTGACCCTTTCTGCTATGCCCTTCCCTACAAAATGCAATGTTAGGTCCTTTTGGTGGCCACAGTAGGGCAAAACCAATGGCTCTTGCCCTCATTCTTTATGGGACTCCTCTCCATCTRCCCCCTTCCATGCTGAGGGGCTCCAGCTCTCTGACATGGAGTAGGGAATGTCTGTAACTGAGAAATGCTCTACCTCTGGTACCTGGACATGAAGATGTTCATGTTCACTGAACATGCCAGTGTCTGCAGGAGGGGGATATTCCAATCAGGACTCAGCACAGAAGCTCCCAATTAAGGAGCAGTGGAATCACCTCTGAAAAGTGTCAGACACYCAGCAGAGATTGAATACAACCTCGTGTTTATGTCAGGATTTAGAGTAACAAGAAGTTGTTGCTCTGTGAGTGGAATTTTGGGACTGTGCATGGGCCATTGGAGTAACCTGGAGCTCTGTGTGTTCTCTTTTGGAGACGCTGACCCTCGATGCCTCTTCCATGACCTACCCGTGCCCTGACATCTGCTCTGCGGGTACCGAGGCCATCCAGCAGTTCCTTTGCAAGGGTAAGGCAGGAGCACCTGGGCTGTGCTCAGAGATAGCATTTCTGAAGGACAGGTTCTGCTTGGGGTGGTTCCTGGTGCCCTGCACTCCTGATTACTTGTCTTTGTGGGCAAACAGCACAATGTGAGTTCTTTCCTGAGCTCTGTCACACTGAAATGTAGAATGGYTTGTTAAAAATCAGAGTGGCTGGGTCAGCCTGTCTCAGTGACCATAGGAGGTCAGTGCATCTCCTGGGGTTATTTAGGTTTTCTCCTGTGGGAGGATTAGRCATTGCCCAGATATCACTGCTTTGGGATAAGGAGAGAGACTCAGCAGTCACTTGAGATCCCTTCTGCCCTCATTTCTTCTGAGGAAGGACCTGGGCCCTTCGTCATGAGAATGATGAAACCAGATGGAAAATTCAGATGACAAGGGAAATATACTGTACGTTTGTAGACACTGTGTTCAGCTCAGAGGGTGCTTTGGAGGAGGTTTTATGCAGGGGAAGTGCCTTGGAAGGCATGGTCAGAACGTGTTTGGGTCGGGCAGTGACATCTGCAGCCCTGCAGAAGTCACCAAGCCTGCCCCTATGTGCAGGGTGTGTTTCTGTCTATGAGGAAAATTAATCCACAAGCACTAGAGGTTGATGTCCAAAAATGAGACAGAGGAGTCCCATAACTTTATTCATGAATAAAGGGAGAGGTCTTGGGCATTTCCATGGGGCCTCTCAAACAGAGGACGTAGCCTCTTTTATCCCAATTTCCTGGCCACAATTCCCTCTCTCTTTCCCATTGGCTGAGGTACTTGAGAAGTACAGGCTCCCGAAAATGCCCAATGTAACCCCACCTTCCAATATATATCCCCCCTTTAATATAAACACCATATCTCTGCTCTTGTAGTTTATTAACAGAGTCTGGGGTCAGTCAATGGTGTAATTTCTATGGAAATCCTTCCCATTGTTTCCTTCTGTCTCCCAGTATCGGTCTTATCTTACCCCCTGAGTCACAGTTTGTTTGTAAAGATGCCCTGTTTGTAAAGATGCTCCCTTCTCATTCCTTTCATGTCTGARCAGATCCTTGTCCTGGTGGGGCTGGAGTGGCACCACCTCCTCCAGAGCTCCTTGTCCACCTTGCCTGAGCTGGAGGAGCCCTGCCCAGCCCTCTTTGGTGTGTGGGCAGAGGGAGCATGGCTGGAAGCAGCTCCACACACAGCCCAGCCCTCAGCCACGCTGCCAAGAAGGTCTTTAACCCCTAAATGTTCTTATTTCGTGTCTGGTGCCTTCCAGAGTGTGGAATTGCATACTACCCTCCCTCAGAGTACGTCCTGCCCACCCTGGAGAGCAACACAGGAGGAACTGCAGTGGATGGGGTGGACAGGACGGTGGAGAAGTACCTGGAGAAGGAGAACGAGTGGCAGGTGAGGCTCCCCTGCACCACAGGGTTTGGGATTTGTCTCTGTCCTCCATTACAGCACYTGGCACATGATCCCTCATCTCCTTMCCCTCCATGAGATGTGTCTTTGGGGATCCAGGGAGCAGCCAGGCACAGCGGTGTGTGTGTGTGGGTGGCTCATCTCCTGCCTGAGCTGAGGATGGTGTCACGACACTGGCTCCTGGAAGGCACATCCCAAAGAACTGCCTCCATCCTTGAAAGCAACACTGCAGCCAAGGGACAGGGGTGACAGGGGGACATGGAGTGAGCAGGGTGTGATG